TCCCCTAGAATACCAAAGTGCTGCCAGATACCAGGTCTGTAGCTACCATTTGAGAGAAGAGAGGTCTTTGAGGCCATGTGAGAGCAAGAGGGGCCTTTGGTTTCTCATCCAAGGAGCAGGAAACACAGGTGAATATAGGCAAGTCCCAGCTTCCACAGGAAGGGACACACTCTCTTCTCTTCACTTGCCATCTGACCATGGAGTAGCTATTCTCTTAGATTTTGTCTTCCCCTTCTTCCCAGCAATGTAAGAATGCACAGTGGAAAGACATTACTATTAGCAATATCTGTCAACACCTTTCTTGCATATTTACATAATTGAGCAGCACTAAGTATGGGTGTAAATCCCTAGAAACTGCCTGCCTTCATGTGCATTAAAACTACTTACAAACATATTAGCAAACAGATTGCTTCAGCTCAAGGTTGTCTCTTAGGGATTGACTTTGTGCCAACAACACTGTGGATGTACACAGTGCTCAAGTGTAGAGTTGCCTGGCATTTTAACACATACACAAGCACCAAAAGGAAAGTATGGAAATTAATGCTACCAAAGAAGTAAGAAATTGCAGTCATCCACACACGCATTCAGCACGAATCTCAGGCTTACCTGTGGGTTCTTGAAAAGTGCATATTTCTCTATACGTTCCACAAACATTAGTTTGTTTTGACTATCTCTTGTCCAGTTCAGGAGATTTTCAACTAAATTTTCATGATCTTCAAAGATCCTTTCTGCAGCAATAACAAGTGAGCAAATACATTGGAATCTGTAGCATTTTGTGATAGAAACTAATAGAAACTAATCTGTAGTCATTTCTAAGAGACAAGGCATATATAAAATAGAGTTCAAGATCTACTACAGTGGGGAAGAAGTTTATGCTAAGAAACTAAAAGAACTTAGTCCACTTCCAGACATGCCTGGTTTAATTTTAATTTCCAGTCACTCAACATGGACTTTCTATATCTTCAAGCTTATAGTTCCATCAACATATAAAATGTTTTTTACTTATCTGAGAAGGCCTACCATCCCACAGGAACACTGCACACTCAAATGATAACATTTCAAAGTTTATAAGCACACACAAGAAGGTTATCATATTTATGTGTTTTCTGGTCTACACAATTCCCAGAGGGATGGATTGGGCAGCTTTTTCAGCACAAAATTTGTTTCTTTATCCCCAATGACTATCTCACTCATAAAGTATCAAAAAGTAGTGGGCAATGATCAGAAGGAAAACAAAATCCTTCTGAAATGCAGAATACCATAGCTAGTAGGGGCTTTGTAAAGAAGTCTGAAAACTAACACTGTCTACTTCCTATGATCTCTATTGCTCAATAAATGATGTCTCAACAACAGCTTCTGAGAACTTTGGTTCTCAGTCAAACCTCAGTCAGAACTTTGGTTCTCAGTCAAAGCTCTGAGCTTTGACTCTCCATTGAAGAAGTTACACTGTGCACTAGTAAAACACTTCAGAATACCGAAAATAGACAAAAGAGAATAAAGAAAAAGAGAAAAATTTATTGAAATGGTAGAAAATAGCTAAAAATCCTCATTGCAAAATAAATAAGTAGAAATCTTTTGGAAACCACTAGATCAACTTTCTCATCCTTTTGAACACACTGAAGCAGAGTCTAGCTGTTTACAATTTGTTCCTTCTTCATATAGGCCACACAGTGGCATTTCAGGAAATCAATTTTTTCAGAATCCTCTGGGACCTGCTTGACCTTTCAATTGCACCTGAAAGTAGAACATGATTTTTTTGCACAAAATCAATTCCCCCACAATCTTACAGTGTGTATATGGCTGATCACAATCTAGCAGCTATTGCTAATGAAGACTCAGATGGCAGATGACATCTCAACATCTTAATGTGAATGTAAAAAAATGTCATCTGCAGGGAGTGTCAGATGGCAACACATTACTGTGGTCTGAGTTCTAAGAAGTTTCTGAGTTACAATTCATGACTTCCATCAAGCTCTATAACAACACAGCAACAGTGCCTTCTAGTAAAGTAAAAAAGTCATTACCTAACAGAATAAAAAAAAAAGCTTCAGATGACCACAATACAGAAGTTTACATCTCACTACAGCTTCATTAGTGAAACTGGATAGCTTTCAAAACATATCAACTCTCGTTAAAAAACACAGTTTAATAAACTTCTAAGGTTTTGAGCCTAGTAAGATAGTAGTTTTTATGTGATAGGTAGAAGATTCAAAGAATACTCTGTCAGCCCAAAACAACTGTTTGGCATGCTACACTATCTACAATAGACAAGGTTTCACCAGAAGAGAGAGGAAACAATAACTTTCACTGTAATTTGAAATCAAGGTGCTTGGCTTCAGTTCTGTGTATTTCTTTAATCAAAGTCAATAGATAAGATGCACCTTACCCATTCCCCTTATATTCCATTAAGATGCTATATCTTTTGGCTAAATAAACAATGTGGTATGTGCAATGAAGTGCAAGGGAGCTTAAACTGCTTTTAGAGGAATGTTGCTAATTGCATTAAAATATTAAACAGAGAAAAAAATGTAGGTAGCTTTATATAATAGGAGTTATTAGGATCAGTTCAAAATTCTATTTACAAGGAAGAAGCAGCATAGTGAATGTTTTATCCCTTCTTTCTTCTGTGAAGAACAAATCAAAACCAAGAGGCTCAGTGACCACACTAGCAAGATTTCTACATCACACCACAGAATGTAGTCATGCTTTTAACATAAAAGAAGAAATAATTTTCAGATCATTCTGAAACAAGGTCAATCATGAACTTTATTACATTAATTAGCATTTACTACATTAATGAATGGGATGATGAACATTACGAAGACAAGTATTTAAATCATTCTGAGGATGTAGACTAGTGCTGCATCAATGAATAAGAATTAGAAATGCTTATAATTATTACTTACCCATTTGCAATTCAGAGATGGTTTCCACCAATGACCAGTCTAAACTGTAGCCACAATGTGATTTATCCATCAGATTGTCTAATACTTGTCTCACTGTTTGCCTCTCATCCACCATCATTGTTTTTGAGCTATCATCAGACATATGGACTCTGATCACCAACTGTTAAGCAGAAAATTAAGAAAATAAAAAGAAGGATTAATCTGCCACATTTCAAATAAAAATAAAGTTTCTAAGATCTTGTTTATTCTTCTAAGGTTTTCTTACAGTAGTATAAAATTCAATCAAAACACTCCCTCAAAATGTAAGAAGTCATAAATGATGGCTAGATATTTGTATCAAGGTACTGCTCTCCTTCAGCACAAGAAAGTAAATATAAAGGTCTTTCCAACACAATGAGGAAGTCCTTCAGTTGTGTGCTAAGAAGGAAAAAAATCCTTCCTGTTGAAGTGTTCCTGCTCTGATAATAAAGTTTCTTTCAGACAATATCTAGGTGGAACAAATGTAGATACAGAGCTCTGCACAAGTTTACAAAGAATCAGAATTCAGATGTGCAGTTTAAGCTTTCTGCTCACTTCCTATGGTATTTTTTAAAAACGGTTATTATGTAAACAATATAGCAATACTAAACCTTACTTTTCTGGGGAATATGAACCAGTAGTGTGAAAAAATCTGTTTTTAGAACACAATGGCTTTTCATAGGCTTTTTAAAGAGGTCACTGTCCAGAAACAAAAATCCAGTTATTTTTTTAAACCAATCAAAAGACTTAAGACAACGGATTCATTTTGCCAATCATTATTATTTCCATTTTTACATCTTGTTCAGCTGGAAAAGATAAAACCTACTAGCAGTAATACACTGGTTGACTTTTTAATTCCCATCTAACAGCCAAGACAGTTTTTCTGCTTTTGATCTACAGACAATTAATGCAAAAGGCATTTTAAGCTACTGAAAAACTCCAGTCATAAAATAAAAATGCTAAATTTTAAGGGCACTCTATATTCTTTGAGAGTACATCAAGTAATGGCAGTAGACTTTCTCCATTTTCTCCACTCTGTCTTTAGTCTGGAATACTTCTCTTCCATTTAGCACTGGCAAATCCTGCTATGCATAAAGGGAAAAGGCTTGTGAAGAAGAGGCTGTGAAGAAAACAGGCACAAATTTTAAACATGTGACTGCAGAATATATATGAACAATCTCAGGAGGCTGGACCTTCATTTCATTGCTGAGTGGAAGTTGGTAAAATTTTCCCAATGAGCACTAGCTGAAAAACAAGCTATTCCTTAAGAAAAACAATGTTATTCCATATCCTAGGATTTTCCTGATTAGGTCCAGTCTAGATGGGAAAGCATATTGTCACTGAAGATTAGAACACTACAGTCTTCCTATTTTATAAAGGGCAACTTAAGGGTAATATACATAAGTGAAGTTTGCCTGCATTTTCCAGGTTAAAAAAATAAAATAAGGATCTTATAAATTGGTATAAGTAACTTACCTTTTTCACTTGTGCTTCTTTAATCTTCTCTAATGCAACCCTAATCTTCTCAGCTTTCAGTTTAGCAGCCTGCTCTTCCTAGGGGGATACAACACACAATTCCAGTTAGCACAAACTTCATTCAGGTCTCAGTGGGATGAAGTTTGAGGCTACCATGCTTTGGAACATGAACTGAAATGCTCATTTGCTTAGGTATAAATCTCCAACTATTTCTTAGTGATGATGAAAACTATTACTTTTTAAGACAAAAAGTGTTCCTATCTAATATTTAGAGATACAACTGCCATTAACTCCAAAGGAACATACTGGAGGTACCTATTTTGTATAGACACTTGGCATTTCTCTGTTCTCCTGTACTGTAAATAGCCTTATGCTACCAAATATTTTAGCACATTGTATATTTACAGTCATAGGTTGGGACAATACATATTCAACAAGAGTATACAATGGAGTACACCCAGTAGATTTCTGGCTGATCAACATAAAACACAAATAGCATGCCAAGAAGTATCCAAATTTAACAGCACACAAAGTATGGAAACAAATCCTTTAACTAGGATTCCATATTACATGCATTAGTTTGAAAGATTTTAAACTGTTAAATCCATTTGCAATAAGAGGTTTGAATGCTTGCTTTGTCTTTACTAAATCCAAGCTCTATTTCTCCTTGTTTTAAGTATTATAAGACACAAGGCAAATAAGCATTCTTTTGCTCTTCTACATAATCTATTTTTATTACAATTGGAAATGCATTAAAGATTCAGGTAGCTTAAATCTATTTGCTGATACTAAAAAAACCTGTGTCTTTTTAAGACTAGTAATAAAGATTTTTAAATTCTGGAGATTACAGATATTTCTGCTGAAATTGCATTTGAAACATGCACCAAAAAATGCAACCACTCTGTTAAAAATGAAATATGCAGTTTTCAGACTTTCAAAATCTTAAACTGTAGATCTTCATTGTGATTAATATCTAAAACCATCATAATTCCTTTAAAATCTCTAGCACAAACAAGTCTATTAAAACCCACACAAATCCCTTCCAAAATATTCAGTATCCTTAAAAAAGAATAATTAATATTTTTCCTAGAGGTGAAGTACCACATCCCATCACAACATGCAGCATGCTACAAAAACACTGAGTTCTCTATTGCTTTCTTCTATGAATGTAATTCATAGTTTCTTTACCATGTGTTTAGATGGTTGCTTTTCTTGCAAAAGTCAAGGTTCAGCTATTCTGAAATCCACAGAGTTTAAGTTTTTGACTTCTCAATAAATTACTAATATTCATACCAACTGCTAAAGAACATTCCCTTGTTATTTATTGCACTCTTAGTAGCTTTTGGTCCTTCACATCTGTGGCCATCCTGTGCACCAGAAAAAACATCAGCTGGATAGAGCAGTATGCTGCCTTGTGAGAACAGAATTCTTTTCATTAAAATGAACCAGTAAGTTGACACGAGCAGAAATAATGTGAGCCTGAAACCTTATCTGGGCACTGAATTACCCAGGAACATTGCTTTTACTAGTCTGCAGGGAACGATGGCTTTTTATTCACAATAACAATGGTGTCCAATAGCTTAGAAAGGTTAAATCAGATTAGCATTCTATGAAAAACAAGCCATGCCATGATAGCAAGAATCTTTTATTTTTCCTATTCATTAACAGCAACCACTTCAATGTGTAGAAATAAATTATTACTAAAAAATGAGGCTTCACAGCACCAAGCCTGACAGAGGCCAAGAAGCATTTGGACAAAGCTCTCAGGCACATGGGGTGACTCTTGGGGATGTCCTGTGCAGGGCCAGCACTTGGACTCAGTGATCCTTGTGGGTCCCTTCCAACTCAGCTTATTCAGTGATTCTATAAAAGACTTGGAAGTTTCTAGAAGTGATGCTATGCACTTGTTCATGAAATCAGCAAAAGCAAAAGACTTATTTTACCAAATATTGGAGAAACTGTAATTCATAGTTTAAAGAAGCTGCTCATTAACCCAATCAGCACAATTTTCCAGCCCATTTCACTGTACACCAGTGCAAAGGATCACCTGCTTGCCACAGCACACAGGCAGCAACACCAGGGCAAGCAACAAGCAGCTGTGGCCTCTCATACACCTGTGCCAATACAGCTAAAATATCTTTGGTGACCTCAAAGTTTATAATCCATCATTCCCTAAAATGCTTTTGAAAACAGATAAATATGTAGACCAAAGAAGATTTTAAGGACTTACTATTTTAATGTGTACCAATTACTTTTCATTTCCTACTCAATTTAATGTGAGTCCAGAGATTAGGATTCTTTAGGCTTTATTAGAGTTTAACATAATCAGTTTAAATTAAAAAAATCCCAAACCAAAACAGAATTACAATTATCAAAGTAAGAACTGGCTTCAACAAGCAAAAAATTGTAAAAAAGAGGTCTGAAATTACTAACTGGAGAATACAGCAAGAAAAAGAAAGCAAGAATTCAACATTTCTGAAAGCATATAGTAGTCAAAGATTTTAAGCTATTTTGAGCAGTAATAAAGTAAGCTCAGGTCACTGCTGCATCACTGCTGATGTGGCAACCAATGTCTCATGGGAGAAGGAGGGGGAATTATGTATTTTGATTTCTTAATAAAATAATTTAGTAACTCCCCAAAACTCACAACCATGTGTTCTGTTTCTCTCCTAATGGCCCAGGGAAACAGTCCCCTGCCCATCGAAGCCACCTGAGAGCAGCACTTAGACACAAACACAGGTCTCTCCTCCGGCTGTACATGAAAGCAACACAACTTCTACCCAGGAGGAAGCATGGGCAGTCCAGCAGCTTGTGCTAATAAGCTAACAATCCTTTTCACTGCACAGGGAAACAGGTGACAGATGGCAAAAAAAACCCGACTGCAACTGCAAACTACTTAAACTGTTCAATGCCACCAACTAACAAGGCCAGCACATCCAGTCCAGCCGCATCCACCCACGTGTTTGTTTCCCTTTTGCTGGCAAATACTGGCAGCAGTGATGGAGTTGCTAAAGGATTACAAAGATGCAGTAAATCGCAGGGCTGTCCCAGCCCCCCAGGCGGTCCAGACGATGTCAGTGGCTGCTGTGCCGGACCCCTGCCTCCCCTGCACAGCATCAGTGCTCACAGAGCGCTCAGCGCTGCTGGCACACGGCTCCGGCACAGCCCGGTGTAAGGGCAACTGACACAGCACAGGAGTTCAGCAGGAGGCGCTCCCGGTTAGACTGCCTTCACAGCACGGGCAAGCCTTGGAAACACACCCAGCAGATACACACACACTCTTTATAAAAACATTAAACATAACGGACATTAATTTCCACCTCTGGCAGGAAAGGGATGTTCTCTTATAACAGCAATATGCATCACCGCCAAACTGTAACAAATTCCTCACTTAACAGGACTATTCTGGGACTACTGTTACACTTGTATTTTGAAGCTTTGAGCTAAGATTACTTTTGGTTACGGAAAATATTGCACCTGATCAAAAGAATACCTGGCAATGTACTTATACACAGAACCTGTTAATCCAAAATATTCAAACATATTGTGAACCAAAATGGAAATTGCATATCTCTTCAGTGCAAAGGTCTAAAATTAATGACTTTCTTTCATTTATATACCAGAACTAAGTTTTGAATAATTTTAGCCTACAGTGAAATATCAGAATGAAAAACAGAAAAAAATTATTTAAGATTTCTGTAATATAATGACAAACACAATCTCCTCCTCCAGTTTCCAATTAAATATGCAGTTACAAAATATTCCAGCTGTGTCTTGGCATTAAAGATGCAAGATGCGTGCAATGGTAGAGCTGACCTTGCTCAAACGATTTTGTGCCTCACATTTCTAGGCTGGGGCTTTAAAAAAGTAAAATGAAAGAAAAAATAAAGTGTTACTAACTAATCTCTTTTACAGAGATAACAAATGGAATGAAAAAAAAAAAAGAGGAGGGGGGCATCACTTAACAAAGGTACTTAGAAAAGCCGGTAATTAAAGGTAAGAGGTAACAAAGTCCACATTTTACTGAAGTTAGCAAGGTCCACAAACTACAAAATACATAAAATTAAGACATTTCTTCTCTGTTTAATATTGATTTTTTTTCTGAATTTTTTTCTTTGAATGCAGGTAAGAAGATAACTAAATACACAAATAGCATTGATTTCTGAAGGACTAAAATCAGGTATCTACTGTTTATTTTCCCAGCTACAGTCTAGCCTTGGGTAGAAAGGCAATCACCTGTTTTGCAAGGACTCTCCTTGCAGACCTGTACTGAAACAGAGGTTCCTGTTACCATATTAAGATCTCCATTTGTACCTAATTACCCAAAACTTTAAGACATCTTTATTAGCCTCATGTTTAATGCATATCAATCTGAATAATAATCTCATTAATGAAGTTTTCTGTTGATTGCTTTAATTTATTATTAATAAGAACACTAGAACAAGAATGTATGTGATCAGCACTAAAACCAAAGGTGTGAATATTAAGAGCAATTCTTCTGTATTTCTTGATAAATTCATTAGGACAAGCATAATGTTCCTACCCTAAAAATGTTCCATTTGTGGCACAGTCCATCTATAAACAGTGAGCTTGTGTTTACAGTAGTATTTCATGGTCATTCACAAAACATATGTTTACTGCATTTCTTCTCCTAGTAACTCTGAATAACCTCTATCTGGGTAAAGCAGAAAGGCAAGCAAGACATGAGTATCTAAAATATCACTAAATGTGCATGTGCATTCACCCTGGTGAGGGCTTCATCCTCCCTAACGTAGACTCCCCACACATTTCCTCCTTCTTCCTTCCCAGTTTAGTACAGACCTTTCTATACCTCTGGAACATTCCTGACATTGCCACCATATTGCATTATGCTACTAAATATGGAAATGGCTGTGGAGTGGCACTATTGTTTTAGGGGTTGTGTCTGAGAATGATTCACCTGAAAGGTCTCAGATATTATGTTAGTACACTTGGGTAGTGCCATATTTGTCCTTTGTTCTACTTCTTTGTTCACCATTCACAAACATTTTGCTATTAGAAGTCCAACTCAAACACAGAAGATGACTTCTGAATGGAAA